TATATATATATATATATATATATATATTAAAATATAACTTATTTTTAAGTTGAAATTTTTTTTTATTTATGTAAATTTAATATATAAAATTAATTTAGACTTCATATATGTAATTTTAATTTATGTAATATATATATATATATATATATATATAATATAATTTATTTAACATTAATTTTATAGTTATAATTCTTTTTAAAGTTATAATTATAAATATGATTTTTTTAATTATATAATTATAATTTTTATAATATATAATTGATAAATAAATTTTTTTAATTTTAATTTAATATATATTTTTATTTATAATTTTTTAATATATGTTTGAGAAATTAATCAATTATAACCTATTACTTGAAAAACTAATCAATTATTTAAAAAACTAATCGATTATAATTTATTATTTGAAAAAATTATTGAATATAATCGATTATTTGACAATAATCGATTATAATCAATTATTTGAAAATTTAATCGATTATTTGAAAATTTAATCGATTATTTGAAAATTTAATCGATCATAATGAAATATGTGGTGAGCCAAGATTTGCGTTGGACATTTATATATGATAGCAGTTCCACTGGAACCGCTCTTAAAAGTGAGCATATAATAACGGTTTAACGTTAACCGCTATCTAAAATATATTTTAGATAGCGGTTAACTTGGAACCGCTATTATATATTTTAAAATATAATCGATTATTTGAAAATTTAATCGATCATAATGAAATATGTGGTGAGCTATAATAGCGGTTCCACTGAAACCGCTCTTAAACGTTAACATATAATAGCGGTTCCACGTGGAACCGCTAATATATGTTATATTATAAAACTGAAATTAAGTTATACTTTGGAGAATATATATATATATATATATATATATATATATATATATATATATATATATATATATATATTAAAATATAATTTATTTTTAAGTTGATAATTTTTATTTTTATTTATGTAAATTTTATATATAAAATTAATTTAGAGTTCATATATGTAATTTTAATTTATGTAATATATATATATATATATATATATATATAATTTATATAATATATATAATTTATTTAACATTAAAAATAGTTATATTTTTATTAATTTTATAATTATAATTTTTTTAAGGTTATAATTTTAAATATAATTTTTTTAACTTTATATTTATAATTTATATAATATATATAATTTAAAAATAATTATTTTTTTTAATTTTAAGTTGATAGATTTTTTTATTTATAATTATTTAATATATATTTAAAAAACTAATTGATTATTTAGAAATTATAGAAATGAAAAAACCGCTATTATATGTTATATTATAGAAATGAAAAAACTAGTATATATAAATATATATATATATATATAATATTATAATATTTATTTAAAATTTAAAATTTTAAAAATATTTTTATATTTTAAAAATTAATAATATATTTAGATTTATGGTTGAACGTAGTAAAATAATATTTTTAAAATATATTATTAAATATTATATTTATATTATTTGTATGGTTAATTTTTAATTTATTTATTTATTTGATATTGTAATATATTTTTACGAAATTAATAATAAATTAGGAGGATAATAAAATTCTTTAAAATTATATGTATATAAGATGAAATAATATTTTGATGTAAAAAAATATTTTTGAAATGTATTTTTTTCTTATGTTTTTGTAATATTTTGAATGATATAATATTAAAATTGACTTTATAAAAAATTAGGAAAAAAACAATTAATTCAAAAATATAATAATGATAAAAATATTATAAAAAAGAGTTCAAAAATATATTATAATATTTTCAGTTTTAGTTTAATTATATTTTTAATTCTCAAAGTAGAAAAATATATTGTAATTATTTTAATTTAATAAAATATAATTTAAATTTTTAATACTAAAATTAAGAGATTAAATAAAATAAATTTAATTCTTTAAATTTAGTATTTAGAAACTAAAATTATAGTTTCTTTGTTTTAAAAAAGTAAAATAAATATTTAAAAATAAAAATAAAAACTAGTATTATCTTAAATTTATTAAAAGTATAATTAAATCTCCATTTTCTTATCCCATTTTAAATTTTTTTTAATAAAAATCCAATATATAAAAAAGTTGAAATTTTAAAAAGGCACAATCTTAACTTACATGAACTATTTTTTTGAATATTATGTTTTTAAATTTGCTAATAGAGAAAATGTTTCAGAATTCAAAATGTTAAATACTTTTAAATATTAAAATTGACTTTATAAAAAATTTGGAAAAAAAATTAATATAAAAGAGTTCAAAAATGTATTATAATATTTTCAGTTTTAGTTTAATTATATTTTTAATTCTCAAAGTAGAAAAATATAGTGTAATTATTTTAATTTAATAAAATATAATTTAAATTTTTAATACTAAAATTAAAAGATTAAATAATAATAAATTTAATTCTTTAAATTTAGTATTTAGAAACTAAAATTATAGTTTCTCTGTTTTAAAAAATTAAAATAGATATTTAAAAATAAAAATAAAAACTAGTATTATCTTAAATTTATTAAAAGTATAATTAAATTTCTATTTTCTTATGTAATTTTAGAAATTTTTTAATGAAAATCCAATATATAAAAAAGTTGAAATTTTTAAAAGGCACAACCTTAACTTATATTAACTGTTTTTTTTTTTTTTGAAAAAACTAACAAGAAAAACTTGACTTTGAAAAAAAAGTTAATAATTTTGAAGTTATTTAAGTGATGAAGTTTCCAAATGTGATCTATGAATTGATTGAGTAAAATTGGAGGTAGGTTGAATATAAATTTAAATATATTTTTAATTTATTTAAATATGGTTTATTTTTAGTATTTATAAAATAGATTAGTTTTAAATTTTTAACTTTTCTAGCCGTCTATTTTTAATCTTTGATATTAATTATGTTAAAAATGAAAAAATATTAATTAGTATACTTAAACTAATGTATATTGATATAATTTTTTTTGTATATCAATTATATGAAAATAACCATGGTTAAGTAATTAATAATAATAAAGCAATAAATTTAAAAATTAGATTAAAAATAAATTTTTATAAAATAAAATTGTAATAATTTGATTAATTTTTTTTAATTAATTAAATTAATGAGGAATTAAAATGATAATTTGATGTGTTTAATTTTTTTAATATAATTTTTTAAAATATAATTTAATTTCAATGAAATTTTCAATTGAAAAATAAATTAAAGAATATTTATTATTAAACTTTTCTTAAACAATGTATTGAATAGTTAATATTACTCTAGTCTTAATTTATTACAATTTAAATTTTTAATAAATTTGATTTATTTTTAATAATATTTTTATTTTAGTAATTTAAAATTAAAGTTAATCTTCATTTTGTTAATATTGAGACCAAAGTTTATTTTTAAAGTATATTTTAAAAATTAAATTATTTTTAAAAAATAAATTACTTTTAAAAAATAAATTGTAAAAAATATACTAAAACAATTAAAGTATATTTATAAAAAAATAAATTTAAATATAATAAAAAAATAATCTTCATTAGCGATCGATTTCAATTCGGTCACTATTTCAATTTGTAATTTGGTCGCTAAATCAGTCGTTAAATTATTTTTTTATTTTAGTGTGAAATAGCCACCGATTTAGCGATCGAAATTTTGCGACGAAAACTATTGGTCGCTAACTAAAGAATGTGAAGCCAAATTATATTTCGATGGCTAAATCGGTCGCTAAATTGTGACCGAATTAATTTGGTTGCTAAATCGGTTGCTAATAGCGACCGAATTAAATCGGTCGCTAAATCGGTTGCTAATTGTGACCGAATTAAATCGGTCGCTAATTGCGACCGAAAAAATTCGGTCGCTAAATGTGTTTTTTACTTGTAATGTATTCTTATGCCATAACTCCTTACCAACAATTTCCTATGCAGATAACTACAATATTTTAAAACTAAAAAAAGTTTTTATATACCAGAAAGGTAACAGTACGTGGTCGTGCATGCTTATCATTGTTGACATTTGTCAAAACAAAAATCTGCATGTTGCACACATATTTATATATTTATGATTTATTTAATGAATTTGGACCACTAATTACTGTCATAAAAGCTATCAAATGCTAGGCTATATTTTAATCCAAATTAAATGTCTAAAATTTACCCTCGACAAAGTAGTCCAAATATGGCAATTTTTCAATATTCTACACCCCATTTCATCCCATGTATCATTAATCATCAATTACTCCTTCTATTTGTGCAGTGTCTTCCATGAGTGCTAGTGATGATCCTTGTATGAAAGAGAACATGATACACTGTTTGTTAAAAGATTAAAAATTTATACACAAGTATATTAGATCAAACCAAACAAAAATTTGTTTACTATACTGAAGTTAGCCATAACTGCATTATTGTAAAGATTTATTGTTTGGTGTTATTTGTATGAACAAAAGGAAAGGAAAAATGAATGATGTATTGCAATCTGATGCTCTTAGGCTGTCTTTTAAAGAGACAGTATTTGGATGGATGAGGTCTAGCAATAATGTTGGTGGCAATAAAATCATTTAAGCTAACCATTACTCGATACCAACAATTTCCTATGCAGATAACTTCAATATTTTAGAACTTAAAAAGACTTGTGTTACCAAAAAAGTGACAGTCTGTGGTCGTGCCTACCATTTATCAAAACAAAAATCTGCATGTTGCACACAGATTTATGTATTTATTTGATTCTTTTAATGAACTTGGACCACTAATTACTGCTATAAAATCTATCCGTGAAAAGCTATATTTCCATCTAATTCTACTCAATAAGTCACCAATTCATATTCTACCTGTTCTAATGGCTTTGGCAAGTGAGAAACATGCAAATGAAGAAACCAAGCTTATTCTCTCCCTTTCCTAAAGAGAGAGGTCTGGGTGGAGCCCCCTATCTCCATCTATTTGAAGATTTTTGGTGCCCATCATATTATATTCAAGGAGTAGACAATTTTCAAAAGTATTTTCATGCAGAAGACAATGATGTTTTTGTTGCCAGCTTTCCAAAATCAGGTACTACCTGGTTGAAAGCCCTTACTTTTGTTATTGTAAACTATCAACGGTTTTCCTCCTTCGAGCACCATCCATTACTTACTTCCAATCCTCATGAGCTTGTGTCTTTCCCTGAATTTATCTTGTCTCGTGATTTCGATAACCAAATTCTTTCCCTCTCCTGTAACGACCCTAGAAATCCCTACTATAATGATGTCTTCGCAAAGTAGTAAACAAGTAAATAAGAACATCTATTTTACATTATATTACTGTAATTGTAACATATATTGAAATTCCAGTTCACTAACAGAACTTCAAAATATAGTAACATAAATTATTTATATGTTATACATGTAAAAGTAGCTCCCTCGAAGTTATCCCACTGAACTATCCCTGTTGTCCAGTAGTCACATCACCATCTCTCAACTCCTGATCTGCTCCCACATAAAAGTGATCATCGCAGTCCCATCCACATGGAAAAATAGGGGTAAGTATTAAATCATTCGATATAATAAAACAGATATAGAAGTAATAATTATATATTATGATCAATTACGAAATTATCAACACAGTAAGACACCTTCCGGAAGTATACCCTAACTATGCCCGAACTCAGAGGCTATCATCTGTGGGCACATTGTGATCGGTACCAGCAGTACCATTCCGACCACCCTCCACACAGAGTAGGATTACTGGCGCCCTTCATCACTCATACTGGAGTACCCCTCCGAGCACGCCACCAGTAATCCCCCCATCGACTTCTCACCACCTGATCTCATAGTCTACCTGACCCGACCAATCAGTGAAGTCTGGGACCTCATTCAGAATCCTCCGACATAGTTATTACACTAATGTACTCTGTACCACCCCGGGTACCATTCAAACATACAAAATTTATTCACATTTGCCGGATTCTGGACCACCTGTCCTCACGGCTCATTCGAGTCAATAAAAATAGTATTTGACTGATTCTGGCACCAACCCTCCGGCTCAGTCTAGCCAATATATAACGTCTCGGGACCGATTCGGGCATCGGCCCTCGGGCTCGCTCGACCCACACACGTCACAACACACTACTTTCATTCTCTCTCTTATATATATATATATATATATATATATATATATATATATATATATATATATATATATATATTTTTCTAAAATAATTTCGAAACTATTTTCGAAATCATTTTCAAAATTATTAAATTACTATTTTGCCCTTAATCTTTTCTTAAAATTCCATGTATGTCCCTAAATGACTATTTTACCCTTGGACATTTTTGAAAATTCCATTTATGTCCCTGTGATGTAAAATGACTAGTTTACCCTTGATCTTTTTAAAAAATCCCCACCATATCCCTTTCTTCTTCCTTCTCTTGCTCAAGCGAGTACACCGGTCGCTTGAGCGATACAGAACCCGAGAGTCCCCTTTGTTTGAAGGCTTCGTCGCTCAAGCGAGTACATCAGTCGCTTGAGCGAGACATGACCCGAGAGTCCCCTTTGTTTGAAGACTTCGTCGCTCAAGCGTGTACACCGGTCGCTTGAGCGAGACATGACCCGAGAGTCCCCTTTGTTTGAAGGCTTCGTCGCTCAAGCGAGTACACCGGTCGCTTGAGCGAGACATGACCCGAGCGTCCCCTTTGTTTGAAGGCTTCGTCGCTCAAGCGAGTACACCGGTCGCTTGAGCGAGACATGACCCGAGAGTCCCAAATTTTCCAGGTGTCCTCGCTCAAGCGATGTATTTTTTGCCATTTTCGAAATCCAGATTTCAAATTTCTCAGTTTCAATCACCCAAATTAGTTCCAAATCAAAATTTAACCATAAACATGTTCAATTTAAGTTAAAAACAACAATTTTAGTATATAATTCATCTTTAATTTCAATAATTAAAAAAAAAACTTTCAAACGATGAACTGTTCATCAAAATCAGAAATTCTTCAAAATTAGACATTCTTCAAAATTATACATTCCAATACTTCATATTTCTACTCCTATTCCTTATTCACAGAGTACCCAACAATTCAATTTCATATATTGAATGAATTAAACTTCCCCTTACTTGGTATGGTATTTCTACCGAAGCTTTCCCACTTAATTCAAGTTCTCTCCCGTTTCACCAGATCCTGCACGAGTAGAGTCTCGTTGCTTGAAATTTAGACAATAGAAGAAGAAGGATGAGAGGAAAATTTTTGATTTCCCTCCTCCCCCGCTTCAGTATTCATATATAAGAAAATTTTTACTGTGCATGAGGAAAACTTCGTTACGAAGTTTTCTTGCACAGTAATATTAATATAATATTAAAATAAGGCATACGTCACAAGAGATCGTCTATCCTTACTGGTCTCACATCAACAGAGAGATCGTCTCTAATCTGCACATTGTCTGACTCCAGGACATGACTGAGGTCATGTACATATTTCCTCAACTGAGATACATGAAATACATTGTGCAGATTCGCCAAATGAGGTGGCAATGCTAACTGATATGCCACTGGACCTACCTTCTTCAAAATCTGATATGGGCCAATAAACTTGGGAGTCAACTTCTTAGATTTAATTGCCCTTCCTACTCCAGTAGTAGGTCTGATTCTCAAAAATACATGGTCTCCCCCCTCAAATTCCAAAGGTCTCCTCCTCTGGTCCGCATATGATTTTTGTTTACTCATAGCGGCTCTCAGCTTCTCTTGTACCTCCCGGACCTTCTCTGTAGTCTGCTGGAGTAGCTCAGGTCCAATCAACACTTTCTCCTCATCCTGATACCAACATAAAGGTGTTTGACACCTCCTCCCATAAAGAGCCTCATATGGTGCCATTCCGATACTGGCATGATAGCTGTTATTATACGTGAACTTTATTAATGGAAGGATCTCATCCCAACTTCCTAGATTATCCAACACACAAGACCTCAATAAGTCTTCTAGTGACTGGATGGTCCTCTCTGACTGTCCATCTGTCTGGGGGTGATAGGTTGAACTCAACCTAAATCGGGTACCTAATGCCTCTTGTAAAGTCTGCCAGAATCTTGAAGTAAATCTAGGATCCCTATCCGAGATAATGCTAGATGGTACCCCATGTAATCGAACAATCTCGCGAATATATAGTTGTGCCGGTTTAGCCATAGATATCCTTAGATTTACGAGGAGGAAATGTGCACTCTTCGTCAATCTGTCCACTATCACCCGGATCGAATCGTACCCTCGAATTGTCCGTGGTAAATGGGTAACAAAATCCATGGTAATGCTATCCCACTTCCATTCAGGTATCTCCATTTGCTGTAGCATTCCTCCCGGCCTTTGGTGTTCCACCTTTGCTTTCTGACAAGTCAAACAAGCAGCCACATACTCTGCAATATCTCTCCTCATACCAGACCACCAATAAACCTTCTTCAGATCTTGATACATCTTAGTCATACCAGGGTGTAGACCTAGACGACTCCGATGACCTTCATCTAGTATTGCTCTCTTCAATTCCTGGTCAATAGGAATACAAATCCTTCCTCTAAATCTCAGAATATTATCCTCACCCATCTTATAGTCAATGGTCTGCTCGAATCCTAACTGATTTATAACACTTTTCAATGTCATATCACCTTGTTGTCTATCTCTGATCATCTCGAGAAAATCATTAGTAATGGTTGTAGACCCCTAATTTTGCCCGGCCTCTCAAAATAAAAAGCTAGAGGAACTTCGCCCGAAGATGGAGTTCATCCGGCTTCCCAAAACCGAGGAAACCTCCTGCAACAAACACAAAGATTGCTCGTCTGCACGATAAAGGACAAAGGAGACTTCCTATACAGAGATAAAGCTCGCCCGGCATCTTAATGAAGGCCAAGAAGACTTCCTACACGAAGATAAAGCTTCAACGGACACACATCGGCATCAAACGACGTCCGAAAAAAGGAAAGGAAAGCTTCTCGGGGGTCCCGGAGCGCGAAGACAGGCCAAAGCAGTTTGGGACAGCCGTCCCAAACTGGGACGGCCGTCCCAAACTGGGACGGCCGTCCCAAACACACCTGGTCGTCCCAAACGCCAAAACGCAAGTGGGACGCCCGTCTCACCTTTGGGACGCACGTCCCAAGTCCCAAATTTTGAATGGGACGGCCGTCCCAAACACACCTGGCCGTCCCAACTTGTCCCAGTGCAAAATGTGCATTTGGGACGGCCGTCCCAACCCAGACGGTCGTCCCAGATGTCCAGGCGAAAAATGGCTATAAATAGGAGCCTCATTTGTCATCTTCCACACACCAGACAACTCAGAAGACTTGTCTACTTCTCTCCCTCTCTCGAATGATCTTTCTGATTGCCTTTAAAAGGTAACAATCAGTTAAGGAATTTGTATTCCGACATTCGATTCTTCTAGAAAATTTAGTCGAGTCGAGTCTAGTCTATAATCGAGAGGAGAGTCATTGTAGAGCGAGGGACTGCCGAAAAGCGTCCTTATTGTAACAGAGTTGATATATAAAGCTTGCTACGGAGGTTCTTCTCAAATCTCTTCTCCTTTACTGCTTTATTTATTGCTTCATAAAATGTAAATAAAATCATGTAGATAGCCATATTTACTCGTACGAATAAAATAAGGGTAAGCTGCGTAATTTCTCATAATCTTCACTTAATGAATTAATCCGTCATAGGGAACCCGAAAGGGGCGTTGTGGGGTGCTAACACCTTCCCCACACGTAACTAACTCCCTTACCCAACTCTGGTTATAATGGCCAAGTTGGTTTTTATTAAAATCAGCGCCTTTTTTCCTTTTCCAATGTTTCCGGTCAAAACATTGGTGGCGACTCCAAAAGAACCCCTTTTCGAAAACCTTGCTTTTATTAGAGGACAGTTCAGTGTTGAGCTCCTCGGAAGCAATGAACACAATTTTAACAAAAAACGCGAGTCTCAATCATCTTTTCACGACCGCTCGCATTAACGTTTGAGACGTCCTCAGGACGTCGGAACGGACGGCGGCGACAATGGTAATGCTACCACAACTAATACTAGTATCACGAAACTCTACATCTAGATGCAGATCCCTGAACTTCTCAAGTAATCTCAATTCATCCATCATCATTGCTGACATCTGAACTGCCTTCCTACTCAAGGCGTCAGCCACGACATTCGCCTTTCCTGGATGATAAAGTAACCGAAAGTCATAATCCTTCGGAAACTCCATCCATCTTCTCTGTCTCATATTTAGCTCTTTCGATCGAATAAATACTTCGAGCTCTTGTGATCACTAAAAACTTCAAATCGACTCCATAAAGATAATGTCTCCACATCTTGAGAGCAAACACCACTCGTCGCTAGTTCTAAGTCATGAATGGGATAATTCCTCTCATGAATTCTAAGTTGTCTCGACGCATATGCCACCGCCCTTTTATCTTGCATCAAGACACAACCTAACCCCCGAATAGAAGCATCACAATATACCCGAAAAGATTGAGTCACATCCGGGATCACCAACACTCGGGAACTAGACAATCTTCTTTTCAACTCCCGGAAACTATCCTCACATCTATCTCGTCCAAGCAAAAGGTTGATCCTTACGGGTCAACTATGTCAAAGGAGTTGCTATCTTAGAGAAACCCTCTATAAATTTCCGGTAATATCCTCCAAGTCCCACAAAGCTACGCACTTCCGTCATTGTCTTAGGGGGTTCCCATTTTAACACCGCATCTACCTTGGTAGGATCTACGAGATATCCCTTCTGCCGATATTACATGTCCCAAAACTCGCACTGTTCTAACCAAAACTCACATTTTGAAAGTTTGACATACAATTGTTTCTCTCTTAACACAACCAACACCGCCCTCGGATGTTCCTGGTGTTCTTCCCGAAGTTCTAGAATAAATAAGAATGTCGTCTATAAAAACAACAACAAACTTATCTAAATAAGGACGGAAAATCCCGTTCATATAGTCCATAAATACGGCGAGTGCATTTGTTACTCCAAACGGCATGACCACATATTCATAATGGCCATATCTCGACCCGAACGCCGTCTTACGTACATCCTCTTCTTTAACCAGATATCGATGGTATCCGGATCTCAAATCAATCTTAGAAAAGATTGATGCTCCTCATGAATCGGTCTAATAAATCATCAATCCTCGGCAACGGGTACTTGTTCTTGATAGTCACCTTGTTTAGTTGCTGGTAATCAATACACAACCTGGAGCTCCCATCTTTCTTCTTTACTAGCAATACGAGAGCGCCCCAGGGAGATACACTCGGGCGAATGAACTTCTTTTCCAAGCAAATCTTCCGCCTATTTCTTCAATTCAGCCAATTCGCTGGAGCCATACGGTATGGTGCCATAGAGATTGGGCTCGAACCAGGAATTAGATTAATCCCAAATTCGACCTCTCTCGAGGTGGTAGCCTTGGTATCTCATCTCGGAAACACATCGGAAATTCTCTCACAACCGGTACCTCTTCCAGGATATTTTCCTTCATTTCATCCATCCGAGTCGAATCAAATAACACCGAGCTCCCTCTCGTAGCTCTTTCCGAACCTCGCCGAGCCGATGTAATAAGTTCATCTCCTAATTCGGATGTACCAACCTCTTCTGTCCACGAGTCAATCGAATGCGATTGGTAGATAACCAATCCATCCCTAAGATTACATCCATATCCTTCAAAGGTAAACCGATTAAGTTCACCTTGTACTGTCGTCCTTCTACGACAATTGGGCACCTTAAACACACATAGGAAGACACCACCGAGTCCAGCTACTAGTGTAGATACCCTCAATTCATAGGGTAGGTCACACACGGGTAACTTAAGTTTATCCATACAATTATCGGCAATAAAAGAATGGGTAGCTCCTGAATCAAACAAAACTCGTAGAGGTATATCGGAGATAAAACACACACCTTGCACTAAATTCTCCGACCTCGATGCCTCTGCTCCCGACAAGGCAAACACCCATCCTGCAGCTCCGGGTTTCGCGTCACTCCCCACGGGTGCTAATGATGCCCTAGCCGAGACTATAACATTGGGATTACGTGGACAGTCTCTAGCCATATGTCCCGGCTTCGGCAAGTGTAGCAAAGACCCGCCCGAGAAGTCCGGGAAGGATTAGTGAAGGCATTACGTAGGCACTCGATTCCCGTAATGAGGGCCTCCACATTGAAAACATTTTACCCCAGATACAGATCCTGATGATCGAGGTGTTGGGGTAACACTACCACTCCTGGAAGACTGGGGGCGTGAATAAGGCATCCTCCTCTCTGATCTACTACCCCTACTCGGGACCCCACTTGAGTGGGTCCTCATCACTCTGACTCCTCCCTCCTAGAGTCTCTCTATTGTCTTCGCCTTCTCCACCAGTTCTAGGAATCTCCTGATAGAGAAAGGAACCACCATGAGCTTGATCTCAGCCCTTAAGCCTTCCTCAAACTTCCTGCAAAGCCACTGTTCTGAAGTTGTACCTGTGTAGAAACGAGATAAGTGCTCAAATCGTATGGCGTAATCATGCACCATCATATTACCCTGTCTCAGACTCAGGAACTCAGTCTCCTTCTGAAATCTAACACTGTCAGGGAAGTATTTCTCGAGAAATCTCTCACGGAAAGTTTCCCAATTACACACCTCCCCACGTGCAATCATCATCCTTTGAGTCCCTGACCACCAGAACTCAGCCTCATCAACTAGTAAGTATTTCCCGAATGTCAATTTCCTGTCTTCCGGGCATAAGGTAGCCTCAAAAATCTTCTCCACTTCACGCAGCCATTTCTCTGCTGCATCTGGACTCAAATCTCCTCCAAAACGAGGCGGATTATGCCTCATGAACTCAGTCAGCCCCATTTGCTCTGATTGGTGATATCCAGCAGAGGATGATGCCATAGTTGGCCTCCACTACGGGTAGGTAGCCTGCTGCTGCATGGCAGCTGCCAACATTTCCATTGCCCTAGCTAGGGCATCTACACTCGGTGGAGTAGGAGTAGGAGTAGGAGTAGGAGTAGGAGGTCGCAGTGCCATTCCTATATCAAACGCAACCATCAATACAGAGCAAACATTCACGCACTCACAATCAGAGTATAATCACAACGGACTTATCATAGGTTCACTACCCATCCCCACAGATTTACAAGGATACTACCGCTCTGATACCACTATTGTAACGACCATATAAATCGCTACTATAATGATGTCTTCGCAAAGTAGTAAACAAGTAAATAACAACATCTATTTTACATTATATTACTCGTAATTGTAACATATATTGAAATTCCAGTTCACTAACAGAACTTCAAAATATAGTAACATAATTTATTTATATATTATACATGTAAAAGTAGCTCCCTCGAAGCTATCCCACTGAACTATCCCTGCTGTCCAGTAGTCACATCACCATCTCTCAACTCCTGATCTGCTCCCACATAAAAGTGATCATCGTAGTCCCATCCACATGGAAAAATAGGGGTAAGTATTAAATCATTCGATATAATAAAATAGATATAGAAGTAATAATTAAATATTATGATCAATTACGAAATTATCAACACACTAAGACACCTTCGGAAGTATACCCTAACTATGCCCGAACTCGGAGGCTATCATCCGTGGGCACATTGTGATCGGTACCGCAGTACCATTCCGACCACCCTCCACACGAGTAGGATTACTGGCGCCCTTCATCACTCATACTGGAGTACCCCTCCGAGCGCGCCACCGGTAATCCCCCATCGACTTCTCACCACCCGATCTCGTAGTCTACCCGACCCGACCAATCGGTGAAGTCCGGGACCTCATTCGGAATCCTCCGACATAGTTATTACACTAATGTACTCTGTACCACCCGGTACCATTCAAACATACAAAATTTATTCACATTTGCCGGATTCTGGACCACCTGTCCTCACGGCTCATTCGAGTCAATAAAAATAGTATTTGAATGATTCGGCACCAACCCTCCGGCTCGGTCTAGCCAATATATAACGTCTCGGGACCGATTCGGGCATCGACCCTCGGGCTCGATCCGACCCACACACGTCACAACACACTACTTTCATTCTCTCTCTCTCTCTCTTATATATATATATATATATAAATATATATATATATATATATATATATATATATATATTTCTAAAATAATTTCGAAACTATTTTTGAAATCATTTTCAAAATCATTAAATTACTATTTTGCCCTTAATCTTTTCTAAAAATTCCATGTATGTCCCTAAATGACTATTTTACCCTTGGACATTTTTGAAAATTCCATTTATGTCCCTGTGATGTAAAATGACTAGTTTACCCTTGATCTTTTTAAAAAATCCCCACCATATCCCTTTCTTCTTCCTTCTCTCGCTCAAGCGAGTACACCGTCGCTTGAGCGATAAAGAACCCGAGAGTCCCCTTTGTTTGAAGGCTTCGTCGCTCAAGCGAGTACACCGGTCGTTTGAGCGAGACATGACCCGAGAGTCCGCTTTGTTTGAAGACTTCGTCGCTCAAGCGAGTACACCGGTCGCTTGAGCGAGACATGACCCGAGAGTCCCAAATTTTCCAGGTGTCCTCGCTCAAGCGATGTATTTTTCGCTTGAGCGAAATTTGCAGATTTTCCAAAGATTTCAAATTTCTCAGTTTCAATCACCCAAATTAGTTCCAAATCAAAATTTAACCATAAACATGTTCAATTTAAGTTAAAAACAACAATTTTAGTATATAATTCATCCTTAATTTCAATAATTAAAAAAAAACTTTCAAACGATGAACTGTTCATCAAAATCAGAAATTCTTCAAAATTAGACATTCTTCAAAATTATACATTCCAATACTTCATATTTCTACTCCTATTCCTTATTCACAGAGTACCCAACAATTCAATTTCATATATTGAATGAATTAAACTTCCCCTTACTTGGTATGATATTTCTACCGAAGCTTTCCCACTTAATTCAAGTTCTCTCTCGTTTCACCAGATCCTGCACGAGTAGAGTCTCATTGCTTGAAATTTAGACAATAGAAGAAGAAGGATGAGAGGAAAATTTTTTATTTCCCTCCTCCCCCGCTTCAGTATTCATATATAAGAAAATTTTTACTGTGCATGAGGAAAACTTCGTTACGAAGTTTTCTTGCATAGTAATATTAATATAATATTAAAATAAGGCATACGTCACATCTCCAACATGAGTGAGCCAAGACTTCTTGGTACTCACGTTCCCTTCCCTTCATTACCCGAGTCAATCACAAAATCTAATCGCAAGATCATTTATATATGTAGGAATCCATTTGATATTTTTGTTTCAGCATGGGAATTCTTTACTAAAATGAAGTTAGTGTCTTTACCTGCATTAACGTTGGAGGAAGCCTTTGAGAAATATTGCAATGGGATAATGGGGTTTGGTCCATGGTGGAGTCATATGTTATGTTACTGGAAGGAGAGTATAGCCAGACCAAACAAAGTTCTGTTCTTGAAATATGAGGATCTTAAAGAGGATACTGAATTTCACGTGAAAAGAATTATTGAGTTCTTGGGTTGTCGTATCAATGAAGAAGGAGAGAGTACCAGAATGATTGAAAACGTAATCAAACTGTGTAGGTTTGAGAAGATGAAAGATTTGGAAGTGAATAAATCAGGAGATATAGACAATATCGCAGAGAAGAAGAACTTCTTTCGGAAGGGAAAAATAGGAGATTAAAAATTTAACAAAATAATTCATTATGTAAGAAAAATAGAAAAAAATAATTATATTTAAAATAAAAATGTATCATAATTATTATTTAAAAAACATTAATTTTATCATTTTACACGCACGTAAACATGCACACACACCCACATCACACTACAAAATAAAAAATAAAAAAATATTTATTTGAGAGAAAATAATTTTATAAAATAATATTATCTTATCGTTTTCACTCTCATCAATTATATAGTAAAAAATAAAATATAATTATATTTTTTACTGTGTCACTTTCTTTATTATTGAATAATATAATTTTTATTTATTTCACTTACTTTTTTACAATAATAATTTTTTACTCTCCACTTTTCCTATCTTAATTTTTTACCACTAAACATTCAATTTGACAAATTTTACAACTATAAGTTGAGAATTATACCATTTAAATTTAAAAATTATACGCATTTTACCAGGATGCCTATTTACTAATTATGTAACCAAAATAAGGTGGAAAAGAGAAGGTGTGCTTTGATCAATAAATTAGTTAAAAAATACTCAATGTTAGATTGAATAAAAATAAAAACGTAATATATTTACTTTAAAAGAAAAAATTATTTATTTAATCATCTGTACTTTATTCTAAAGAGATAGCAGCATTTTTGTCACACAAAATACTAATAAAAAATAATAAATAAGTTGCTAAAGTAATGCAGATAATGCAAGTATAAATAATAGGAATGTACTTGGTTATCATATATCATTCTCTCTAAAATAGTAAGTAAGGAATGAAAGAAAGAGCGAAAAAATAAATTGATACAGAATAATAAAAATTAAAATCAAATTGCTATAGAATATTAGCAACAATTAAAATTAAATGGAGCAGAATTTAAATAATCGAAATTTATAAAATTAAAATAAATTGCAAGAATAAAAAATTACTTTGAAAAAAAAATAGTGTAGTAATTAAATTAAATTGATACAGAATTAAAATAACTGAAATTTATAAGATTAAAATAAAGTGTTTTTAAATAAAAGTACAAGAACCAAGAATTATTTTAAAATAAAGTACAAGAACCAAGAATTATTTTAAAATAAAATAATACAGTAATTAAATTTGAAATTTTTGGAAATGATAACTCTACAACTAAATTGAGAATTGAAATTGGAAAAAAGATGAATTGAAAATGACAATTAAACACTACGGGAATAAAAGTTCTAAACAATTAACTAACAGAAATTGAAATTACCACTAAATGAATAAAGTAAATAGAACAATATAAACTGAAAATTTCAATAAAAATTGCAAAATAAATAAAAGAGAATAAATCAGAAGTGCAGTAGCAATAAATGAGCTCGCCTAACTAAAAACAGAGAGTAGGAAAAGAAAATAGGGATGAGACAAAACAATAGTTCTAACCCCGGGGCTAGGAGATTATGATCGTATTGTTGTCATAAGGCATCTATTTATAGGGGATTAAACAAGAGAAATTAAACCTGAAATTAATTACAATAAAATTAAATGTTGGCATTTAATTCAACTAAATTAGATTTACTGCTAGGAGATTATGATCGTATTGTTGTCATAAGACATCTATTTATAGGGGATTAAACAAGAGAAATTAAACCTGAAATTAATTACAATAAAATTAAATGTTGGCATTTAATTCAACTAAATTAGATTTTTGCACCAGTTAAATTGCATCGTTTATGAAAAAAGTAATTAGCTTAGAAAATGCTCTTAGATCAAGAAGGAAATCCAGTATGTAATTTACCTACGGATTATATTTACTACAACCTCCTCCAGCTTTATATTATTTATTATATTTTTGGAACTTTGAATTATTATTAGATTAAGGAAATTGTCATTGGCAAGATTTGAACCCGAGTACCTCATAGTTGGAGGCTGATACTCCAACCACTAAGCTATTAGGATATTTTGATAATAATTTACAAATAAATTATATTTATATTTATTCGTGTAAATATATAAATATAAAATATATAAATATAAAATATATAAAATATATAAATATATAAATATAAAATATATAAATATATAAATATATAAATATATAAATATAAAATATATAAATATAAAATATATAAATATAAAATACATAAATATAAAATACATAAATATAAAATACATAAATATAAAATACATAAATATAAAATATATAAATATAAAATATATAAATATAAAATATATAAATATAAAATATATATAAATATAAAATATATATAAATATAAAATATATAAATATAAAATATATATATATATATATATATATATATATAAAATATATTTATATTTTGATATATTTTGATATATTTATATTTATATTTATATATTTATATTAATATTTATATATTTATATATTTATGTATTTATATATTTATGTATTTATATATTTATGTATTTATATATTTATGCATTTATATATTTATGTATTTATATATTTATGTATTTATATATTTATGTATTTATATATTTATATATATATATATATTTACATTTATATATTTATATATTTATATATTTATATATTTACATGAATAAATATAAGTATAATTTATTTGTAAATTATTATTAGAATATCCTAATAGTTTAGTGGTTGGAGTATTAGTTTTCAACTTTAAGGTATTGGGTTCGATTCTTATTAGTGACAATTCTTTTAGGGTTTAATATAATTTACCTACGGATAGTAATTTCGTAGGTAATTACCTACGAAATTACCCACGGATGACATTACCTACGGATATTATCCGTAGGTAATGGATAACTTACATACAATTAAATATAATTTACCTATGGATAGTAATTCCGTAGGTAATTACCTACAGAATTACCCACGGATGACATTACCTACAGATAATATCCGTAGGTAATGGATAATTACCCACGGATGACATTACCTACGGATAATATCCGTAGATAATGTACAATTTACCTATGGATTTTTATCCATAGGTAATGTAAAATTTACCTACGGATTTTTATCCGTAGATAATATTTTGTAGATAATAGGCTTTTTTTTTTGTAGTGAGAGTAAAATGACATGGATCAAATACTCCTCACTTTTCCTCTTTTGTGAAAGCAATGAGGGGGAGATTGATGGCAATGTGAAACATGTCCCTACATTCCCAAGAGATGATTTTGATGATTATTCAAGTCAACAACATTCAAGACTCAAGCAAGCCCAAGATATGATTTTGATAAAGATTATATTCAACATTCAAGCAAGCGCAAGATGATTCTTGAAGACTAGATAGAGTCTTAGAATACTGGATATGGAGGTACAAGTTGATGAAGTAATATTATGCATATGTCTCCAAAGCACAAGTGTGATAAAATTTCATAACATGACTTTTTTCACTGTCATAATTAATTATGATGCATAAGAAATGGAAAAATGATTTTCTCTGTCATAATTGATTATATTGGTAACATAATCGATTATGGTAGTTCAAATTTGAAAAATATCCGTTTTGAAGAATAAATGTTTTTTATTACATCCTGATTTTTTATCCACGAAAATATTAATGTCCAATGACTATTTTCCGATGTTATTTTTCTATTTAATTAAGTTTTTATAGAAAATAAAAAACACACAATTACAGAATTCGAAAATACAATTTACATTCAATCAGTTTTGAGAAAAGAATTCTGAACAAGGCAACAGAGATATTTTACATGTTTTGAGAAAACCCTTTTCTCCATTGCCACATAGATATTTTACCAAAACCCTCTTCTCCATTACCTACTCGTGCTTTCATTGTTAATCACACTTGTTTTTGGAGGTTGGCATTCTATAGGCTTCTACAATTTGTTGTCTTCATTACCCTGGTGTGACTGTTCTTATTTTATTACCTTCATCCTTTGTGGGATTAAGTGTTTGATTGTTAAATTCCCTGTTTAGGGTTTAAGTAGTCACTGCCATTCTGTTGTGTTTTTTTTTATTTTCTGTGTGGAAATTGTTCATCTCTTTGATTTGTTCAGGGAGGTGTGTAGACCCCTAATTTTGCCCGGCCTCTCAATAAAGGCAAAGAAGACTTCCTACATGAAGATAAAGCTCGCTCGACATCTCAATAAAGGCCAAGAAGACTTCCTATATGAAGATAAAGCTTCGATGAACGTCTATCGGCATCAATCGACGTCCGAATAAAGAAACGAAAGCTTCCCGGGGGTCCCAGAACACAAAATCTGGCAAAAACAGTCGAGATGGCCGTCCCAGATGGCCCAGACGGCCGTCCCACCTTGCTGTGACGCTTGGGACGGCCGTCCCAAAGTCCAGACGGCCGTCCCAACTTCCCCAGACGGCCGTCCCAGTTTTCCAAGCTCCAGACGGCCATCCCAAGCTGCCAGGCTGCGAAAACTATAAATAGGAAGCTCATTTGCCACTTTTTCACACACCAGACAACTCCAGACACTTATCTTCTCTCCCTACTTCGAATGAACTCTCCGATTGCCTTAAAAAGGTAACAATCGGTTAAGGAATTGTATTCCAGCATTCGATTCTTCTTTAAAATTTAGTCGAGTTGATATTGTATTCGGGGAGGAGAGTCTTTTTAGAGCGGGGGATTGCCAAAACGCATCCTCACAGTTAAAGATTTGCAATACAAAGCTTGCTACGGAGGTTCTTTTCAATTCTCTTCTCTTTTATTGCTTTATGTATGCAATATGAAATAAACTCATGTAGAAAGCCAATTTTCAATATGGTATATATAAAATAGGGTAATAACGTAATTTCTCGTAATCTTCACTTAATGAATGAATCCGTCATAGGGAACCCGAAAGGGGCGTTGTGGGGGTGCTAACACCTTCCCCACACGTAACTAACTCCCTTACCCAACTCTGGTTATAATGACCAAGTTTGGTTTTTATTAAAATCAACGCCTTTTTATCCCTTTCCAATGTTTACGGTCAAAACATTGGTGGT